AATGATCTAGTTGTATGCAAATACGATAAATTCTGACTTATTCTGAAGTCAATACAATTTATTCATCTCAATATAACAGACATACTATATTTATATATCTATGTAGATAAGTGGTATTTGCAAATTAGAAGCTTTGCAAGTTAAATGTGGGTGTGCGAGATTACATATTTTTCTAAAAGCAACAACTTTTTAGCATACAAGTAACGAATATTATAAATTATTTGCATGAATCAAAATATAAAATGTTATACTAACGAATTATAATATTTTGGTTAACGTTATTAATCTTGCTATTATGCTCCACGCCACGAATTACAGTCTTTTGAAAGCAAAAATGATAAATATAGATATTTAAGTTGATTCAGCAAGAAAAATAAATGATTGCACTTTGGCCACGCATTGACATCAAAATACCTTTAATAATATTACGCCATTGATAAATTAAACCAGACTAATCGTAAGTCGTACAAAATGAGGGATTTTAGTAGATTTGTTTTGCACATAAATGTATATTTAAATTCATTTCTTAATTTATTTGTTAGATTAGAAATGATCCTTCATTAAAAGTCGTACGATTTATACCTAATTCGTATTCGTATGAAACCACTGTAAAGAACAGAAAAGAGCCAATATTTATACGGCAAAACACCAAGTTCAGTTAAGTAAAAACGCGGGTTACTCACGTGAATATACTGAGAAAAGCTCTATTAGTTTCGAACCACAGAGGGGTTCTTCCTCATGAGCAGCGTGCGCGGTCGCGGCGACGACGCGCAGCTCACTTCCCTCAGCTCACTAACCCGCGTTTTTACTTAATTTAGTATGGCTTACGATAGTTCATATAAAAACCTAGTTCGGTATACATATAACAGGTATAATGTTACGTCTTTCTACCAGACACCTAATTTTAATTTTGTTAATAGTAATATCGTTTCACACTTAAGCCACATTTCTCATTTACTAGCAATGTAAAACGTTTGACTACCCATTATACTTGCAACATTGTTATAATGCAGTTGCAAGTTGCAAATAACGATCTCTTTATTCGACTGTATTATAAGGCAAATTGAGGATGTAAAACTTTAATGTACATTTTCATACCTCATGTTTAAATATCAAGGCTATACAAAGCTATATTCAGTGTCAGTTGAGCAAAATGATCCTGTGTTATCAGCTTTATGTCTGAATACTCAAACGTCACTCAATTATATAACGCGGTTTGGAATAGTTCTGACATTACAAATTCTTTGTAAAATGTTACAACAGTTTCTCCCGCCTGGGTGAGGCGGGAGAGACTTTCATACTCTTACTGACTAAAAACCCCCCCGTTCTTACTCCTGCACTTCGAGCCCCGGTAACCTGTTAGGTTCTCCGCGGTTGCGTATCGGCATCAGCCCTATTGGGCCCCATCCGTGGTGGTCTGATGGCTCTTTGAGGCGTCGCGCCGTACGCTCGGGTCTGGTTCTGGTCGGGCGGCGAGCCACCTATGCTCGCCGTTCGCAGGCCCGCGCTTACGGTGGCCGGAGATCGTAAATTACAGAGATGGCACGACATTTAAGTACAACTTGGCATTGAGTAGCCTTTCAGTATTCGGGCGTTATTGTATCTCTCGATCGCCATTGCATTCAACCATAGCCATCCATGGGGCATTTATACGTGACTAGGAACCGCACTCCGAAAGGGTAATTAGGTACATTTAGGTACTAAATGAAAACAAACACTATCAGGTCGAACTGGCTTCCATTGTAAGCCTATCTCTAATATTGAATGTGGCAGAAACAAATAGTCATCAGCTTCATTAACAACTTCATTAAATGTCATTGTGATATTCTCGATAATGTGGGAGTAAAATGTGAACAGTTTATTAATACGTAGCCATAAGTTGTGATATATTTGCGCGGTAATTAATCGGTTTTAAATTCAACAGGACATTGTTGTAAAATTGATGTAGAGCCCGTAATTATCGGTATTTGTATTGTATTTTTATAGCCGGCTGAGGTGGCAAATTTATTGCCTGTTTGTTTTTACTTAGTGATTTTGTTCGTATGCACGTCTACGGGTTTGGTGTTTTATGGAATTTATGTAATTTCTAGAGTAGTGTTAGATAATAATCGAACTAAGGCTATACTTTTTATACTTTTGTTTCATTACTTCATGCGTTTATTGTTCTGTAAGTTTGTCAATATACGTTCCTACTAAGTATTTTATTAATTACGAAACTTGAGCCAGTATGTACATATGTATGCGTTTGTATATGTACATGGTTGGACGACAAACAGTTTCGTATTACACATATTATATTTCTTCTAGTAATGGAATTGTCTTCATTTAAACAAACGAATATACTTACTATGTATTTCTGGGAATCGACCGTATACAAACAGCCGAATATAGGCACTTTTGAAAGTCAGAATAAATTTGTCAATCAGCTTATTAGTTAAACAGATTTTAAAGTGTAGATTGGTAAAGAAATCTAAGATAGAAAATCTTTACTATTTTAAACATCATGTTATCAATTCTATTTACATGAGAATATGTGTACAAATGCTTAGACCGTCTATTCAATTTTGTGTGGTATGCATTTGTACTTGTAAAAATATAACAGAAACGTTTTCCTAAAAACCCATCGTTAGCACAGTTTTATTGAATAGAGTCAAAGTCCATTACAGTGGAAAAAAGCACCGCACGCTTTTAGGTTTAGGCAAAAATATGTAAATATGACTAGAAACGACGGACATGTACGTATATATTGATAAAAACCTCGACAAGTTTCGCTGTTGCTATCGACAAACTCAAATAAAGAATAGTGAATTGTGCCCCGCTTTAAAATACTTTTTATACAATTTTTCAACGGATATACAATTTTTAGTAGTGCGAGGTATTTTTGCTTCGGGCCCGGCACCGGGTCATATAGTTCTATGGGTCAACATACAGGTCATTCAATGAGAACTATTGTGGATTTGTAACTCTCAGAATTATAATAAACTCACAATTATTTTATACTAGCTACTTCCGCGCGGTTTCAAACGCTGTGCTCTGCTCCTATTGGTCGAAGCGTGATGTTTTATAGCCTATAGGAATCCTCGATAAATGCACTATCTAACACACAAAAATATTCCAATCATACTTGTAGTTACGGAGATTAGCGCGTTCAAACAAACAGACAAAAAGAACAAACTCTTCTGCTTTATATAATAGTATAAGATATAAGATTATACTATGTGGGTATTATACTTACTTCGCTTTACAACGAAACTGCAGCAGTTACGTGATTTAATGTTGTGATGTTTTACGTTTATCGAGGCATTACTCCAGCGGCGGCTGAAGGCGTTCCTTAGTTTACCTAATTGTAATGGGGAATCGCTATCTACTGCGACATCGTAAACGATACACATAATTATACATATATACATAACATAACATCACGCTTTTTATCCCTGAAGGGGTAGGCAGAGGTGTACATTATGCCACTGTACAATGTAACACCCACTTTTCACTATTTATGTTATGAGTCCCATGTAATAGAGGGTGAGCCTATTGCCATATACCGGGCACAATTCCAGACTCCGTGCTACTATTGTGAATTTTATGAAAAACCCAGTAATACTTTGTCCGACCGGGGAATCGAACCCCTTGCCCGGCAGTCGCACTTGCGACGACTCGGCCAATGAGGCAACATATTTATATAGTTCTAATAATGAGTACTAAAATTAAAAATAGACATAGGAAACCTTACATACTCTTTGTTTCAGTTTTTCTTAAATATTTTTATTAGCTCAATGATTAACTGCTTGACCTTATCTCCTAATGCGTTCACCGAATGGAATAATTTAGGTGTACTTTTCAAATACGACACTAATTATTCTCAGTTATATCTTAAAATAGCCTAACAACATTTTTATGTAAATCGTAACGAATAAATAAATATAATTATACCACAAATAAATATTACAAAGGTTATATATAAGTACCGGATTGGATTGGCAAGTTCCCAATAACTTGAATTGCGTTAAACTAAAATATTCGTTTTTGTAAACACGGGATCATTTGATAGTTCCATCTGGTTGAGTGTGGTATTATATATGTGTATACAGGTGTAATGTAATTACCTAAAATCGTGCATTTACTTAGTAACAAAAGATAGTAACATTAATTACGACTGTATTGTGTTTGAACTATTATTAGGATGATTTACTGTTGTAGTGTTTAAACTAGTGATGTTATTACTAACTACATCATTTAGGTACTTGTATTACAAAGTGAGATTGACAACAGCTTTATTTTTTAATGTTATGATTACTCATTACTACTGAACTTTCTACGAATACGATGAAAGCTCACAATGTGATGTAAAAACGAACTTGCTGTGATATAATTAAAGTCGCATTTTATATAACGTTGTGTACTTTGTATGTATGTAGGTATGTTTGTACTCGGATGGTACTCGGATTATCTCGATTTTGATGAGGTTGTCAGAAAAGGGTTTGTACACTTAGGAGAAGGTTTTAGTATATAAATAAATCGACTTCAAAAAAAGATGAGTTAAAAAGTAATAAATGTTTTTTTAAACATAGTCTCTAAAACAATTGTTTCTTTTTTATTTATATATATACACATAGGTGTCATAGGTGTATTTAAAACCGGTATTTTTTGTATAAAACAGTGTATTTACGTAAATTAAATTGTATAAGTAGCTAGTAGTAATAGATAATTAGTAATAGTGAGAATTATTGCACAATTACAGTCAGTATGGAGACTTCATATTATTTGTTTGTTCGTGTGGTGGCTTTTTTAACAAATATTTTACCTGTTATACACATATCTAAATATTAATAGTTAATGAATTTTAGTCTGTGTTATTTATTATATAGACAAGCATTAAAATATAAGTGTAGAACAACAGTTACTTCGTAATTGAAATATAAAACAGTACCTGAATATGTCTATCAGATTTTAGAAAATAACTATTATTTCTAATTCTAAATTAAATATTAATACTAGTATAATGTCTGAAAACCATTACACTGGGGTCAAATCAGTGGATGAGGATGTTGAAGGAGTTACTGAAAATATAAAGATTTCATGGACGCCATTTTTAAGACAGGTGAGTTAATTATTTATTTTTACTTATTTACTTCTTAGCTAGATTCAAGTGCAAGCATTTCGCTTGGAAAGGAAGCAGGCAGGGTATGAAAATAAAAAATCTAATTAGTCCGTAAATTAGGTAATGAAAAAATTTTAGACACGTCTCTTTTTATTTTGTTGTATAATAAAACAATATTTAGATAAAACGAATTAAAGTTTGAGAGTGGGGGCTAAAACGTCATTTCTACTTATAAAATGTACATACAAGTGACGTCACGCGACATTTGAAATCAATATATCGTGGAAAGTATTCGTTTCTGTAAAAAAATACGGGTCTAAAGATTTAAAATAATCTACCAGACGGACATTAAAATAAAAATTAGGCATCTACCTTATTATTATGGTTAATGGGAGAATTCAACGTCTTCTTGCTATATTATAGACAATATTTGTCTTATATTATTTTTTATAGACAAAAATATACGAAACATTAGGATTAAGCTACTTAATTCAGAAATAAACACCGTTTACTTTTATTAAAGTGTGTAAAGTTCGTAAAATACATTCATTATTGTTATGTGTATTCCTTTTCTCAGATTGTGTATAGTAACATAAAGTTTCGTAATATAAAGCCTATAACTCCTGAAGATGTTGACAGAAGGGTAATGACAATTTGGCTGTCTACCAATAGGTACAGTGACCTGAATTAATTGTTTTTCACCATTAGGTAATTTTAACACTGCCTCGTTGGCCGAGTGGTCGCAAGTGCGACTGCCGAGCAAGGGGTCTCGGTTTCGATTCCCGGGTCGGGCAAAGTATTACTGGGTTTTAAAAAAAATCTCAGTAGTAGCACGGAGTCTGGAATTGTGCCCGGTATATGGCAATAGGCTCACCCCCTATTACATGGGACTCATAACATAAATAGTGAAAAGTGGGTGTTACATTGTACAGTGGCATAATGTGCACCTCTGCCTACCCCTTCGGGGATAAAAGGCGTGATGTTATAATAATAATAATAATATATGCTTTATTGTACACCACACAATCACATTATAGGATAAATATTAACAAAAATAGTGTACAATGGGCGGTCTTATCGCACAAGGCGATTTCTTACAGACAACCTTTGGATGGAGCAGTAATAGGAGTCTGATATGGGCCGTCAAGTGTACAATAATTAATAACTTTATAAAGTACTATACATATAATAGAAAAATACAACTACAACTCAAAAAAATAAAAATAAAAAAACACATAAAAGTTATGTTATGTGTCAGTAGTTTTTCATTTAGACATCAAATACAATGGATATTTTTTTATGTACCTGCCGACAAACTCGCCACATTATTATTATTATCACTCTGTTAAAAATATTCACCTACATCAAGAATCAATCCTTGTTTCTATACTGATTATGGTTCATTTTAATTCGTTGTTTTGTTTTATCTATTTGTGTATTTAAACTGTCAAACACCAAGCGGTCACCGGTGACCGCAACCTATTGTTCTCTAATTGTGTCTCAAAACCGGTACTCGACGAGTTAATGGCGGTGTTACATTTCGTCCACTGTGTAACATGGTCCTATAAATAGCGATGTAATTTAGTACACTAGGTTTTAATAGGGAAATCCTATGTATTATTGAGTTCGTATCTGCATCACTGGATTCTGTGGCTAACTATTCTAATTTTGGATGACCCAGTTACTTTATAAATATAGCAAAATATATTCTACTTTCGTCAGTTATGTTTTGAGTGTCTTCTAATAATATAGTCAATGTGTTGCAACATGCTGGGCGTTATTTCAAGCTTGGTATTTTTGATTAGTCAGAATTACATAAATCGGTAATCTCAACACTAGTTTACTCAACGCTACGAAGACTGATATCATAACTCAGTCATACATACGATCACTAACAGAAAATTTACTCAAGAAGACGTCACGCTTTTTCCCAATTATGTAAAATTCACTTTTTGCCAGATATATTCTGAGTTCAATGTAATAAGAACAAGTCTATTGTTTTAAAATTTAGAGTTTTATCTTCGGATAAAAATTGCGACCTTCATAACTGTAATTCCAACAAAATACCTGCCAGAATTATCGGAATTTTGATAGCCATGGTCCCCATAAACTGACCCTCGATGACAATAGCTTGGTAATTTTTACAGGGTCGGACATGGTACATTCAGATACAAAAGTGGAGGTACAAATATAGGAAAATTCAGAAGAAAAAATATTTACACAAAGTAATTGTGTGCAGTAATCTATACGTAGATTGATAAGTGCACGGGCAATGACCTCACAACAAGCTGCATAAAATTATTGGATAGTCGTAGTGTTTGACGTTTATGTATTACTGTTGGTTTGAGGTCGTTTTCGAGTTTAGTCTTGCACAATTATTTTTTCGTTAAGGTAAAATTACATCTATTTTAACATTGTTAGTCGACGGAAAATCCACTCTGTATGTATTTACTATGTAAGCCATACTCTGATATAATAATATGACATAAAATATATGAACTTTATAGTCAAAGTCAAAGCATTTATTTCAATTAAACCATAATTTGGTACTTTTGAAACATCTACAAATACAAAATAAATAATAGTATGTCAGTCAGTCCGTCAGTGAAGCTAAGTGCTCATTCCAAAATGTAGATTCGAATGGAGAAGGACGAGCAAGAAAATCCATTCGTTACTCTTTTTAAAAAAGTATGTATATAATTTTGTTATTTATGTTACAGTTATTCGTGGTCGGTGGAGTATGGACAATATATTTCGTGCTTGGTTTATGTTATGGAGCTCCCAACGTCATCATACCACAAATACGGAGGGAGGCGAACTCTACTGAAGCTGTCAGTGAAGATATGGCTTCCTGGTTATGTAAGTGTTTCACTAAAGGCCCATCGTTCCTTTCTTACCCTGATAAAGAAGGTATAAGCGACGCTCGTTTTCTCATCAGAAATGTTATAAACTTTATGTAATGAGAGGTTGAACTTATCGCCATACAGTAATAACAAACCCGATGTAACTGAGAGTGTTCAATAACTGGAAAACTCAATAACAATATGCCTGATTCCAAAATCAAATTCAAAAGTTTTTGTATCGATAGTTATATTTGTACACACATACTCAACCAAAAAACCTGTCTAAGGGCAGATTTTTCAATGCTCAGTTAAAATTTATAAGAGGAATATCTTTGACTATTTGAAAATTCTTCACTATTAATAACTGTCATATGTCAATTTTATTCTACTGTTTAGAATTAAAAATTGGCTGTAAAAGGTTTCAATTCCACTTTGATATTAGTCTAAATTGACGCTTTTGTTTGTTTTAAGTGGTACAAAATACCCTATTGTAATCTCAATATGAAATGTCTGGGAATCAAAATGCCAAGACGGGACAATAAGCATTACAAATAGATTTCAAATCTGATGAGGTAATAGACTTGAATATTATATTATTTTATATCAACAAGTGGGTTAGATATTGAATCCTTACTAATATTATAAATCGGAAAGTGAGTTTGTTTGTTTGTTTGTTCCGCTTTCACACCGTAACTACTAAACCGATTGCTTTAAATTTTTACAGACGTAAAGTTAGAAGTCCGGATTAAATAATAGGGTACTTTTTATCCCGGAAAAATGTGATAATCCCGAGGGAAAACAAAAGCATTGGTATATATGGAGCTGTGTGTATTGGTATTTGTAATCTAGGCTACTTTTATCCTTTTGTGACGCGAGCGAAGCCACGGGTAAAAGCTAGTACTATATAAACTGTAACTTTATATTGTATTTTATCTTTTATGTTACAATACAAGATACAACAACAAAGCAAAAATTCAATGAATTATAAAATAATAATTTCCTTTCAGCATCAATCCACGGCTACGCAGCGTTGCCATGGATACTCATACTACCGATACTCTCGCGGCGGTTCGGAAGAAAAGTACCGTTCGTTATATTGTGTATCAACACACTAATTGGATACGTCGTGTTTTATTTCAGCACTTCAACTATTATACTATTAATTAGTGAAATAATGCAAGGCATGCTTATCAGCAGCAATATGATACTGTTGATACTTGTTGTCACCGAATACACTTCGCCGCGATACCGAGGCATCTTCATGACGGTCAAATCAACTATCTTCTTTTGGGGAGTGTGGATTGCCAATGCTACTGGCACCTTCAGCCATTGGAAGAATATTGCTATCATAGCCTTCGTTTGTGCTACATTATCCTTGACTTCTTTCTTCTGGCCTGAATCTCCGTCCTGGTTGGCAATGAATGGCCGTTTCGAAGAATGCGCAGAATCCCATCATTGGTTGAAAGGCTATGACAAAGATTCTGAAAAAGAACTAGAAAATTTAATACAGTCACAAAAAGAATACATAGCTCGTTGTAAAAAGAAAGAAGTATCGTCGAAGCGGCTTAAAAATATCATAGAAAAGATATCGACAAAGGCATTTTACAAGCCTCTTTTGTTGTCAATGACAGTCATGTCGCTATATAATTTCTCTGGAAAGTTTGTTTGTAGCATGTATTCTATCGAGTTAATTAAGAAAATAACTAAAAGCGAGTCCACAGCTTATACAGGCATGCTTATTTTAGAAGCCGTCACTATATTTAGTATGCAAATTGGTTGTGTTCTGTCAAAGTACCTTAAAAGAAGAACGTTATTATTATCTTCATCGTCAATTGGTATTATGTTTTTGTTTATAATTTCACTTTATTTATACCTCATAAAATTATCTATAGTGTCGGAAAATAAGATTGTATCATTGTTCTTGTTAACTTCATTTTCTATGACGATAAGTTGTGGGCCAATGATATTGGCTTGTTCTGTGTATGGAGAATTAACACCTCTAAGGTATCGAAGTTCATCCCTACCAACTCTAGCTATATTCTCAGAAATATTAATGGCATCTGTATTAAAAGTGTCACCGTATATTTTTAAGTATTTTGAATTACATGGTGCATTCCTCTTTTATGGAGTTACTGCGTCTGTTTTTGCATTTTTATTGTATAAGTATTTACCAGAGAGCAAAGACAAGACGTTGCAAGAAATTGAATGTTACTTCTTAGAATCTAAAAAGTCAGAGGATGTTTCAGAAGAATTAGTCGAGGAGAGAGAGAAAAGATGATTTTGTGATGATGCATACTTTTTAAATATTTTTTTTTAATATAAAGTTTTTAAAAATTGTTATAATGTCTTAAATTATTTCCCCAATTCATATCTCCTTTTAAATGAATTAAGTCTATTAATAGAATATGTCTAGTTTCATAATCTAAAAATACACTTACTCGGGCTACTTGTTTCTAATCTAGAACTAGTTTTTCAGCCAAAACAGGTTAATAGGCGTGACGTTGATAGTAATTAGATAGGCTACATACATACATAGAGGTATATACCTCCATTACGAAAGATTACTAGAAACCTAATTTACGTACTACTTATGATCTAGTACGGGGTCTTTGGGTCGTAGAAAGAAGGTAGTAGTAGAATTAGTATTTACTTTTTCACTCACTCACTTAAACTCATTTATTGCATAGATTTGAAAACGTGCCTATCACATCTATATTAAAAGTTTTATTTTTGAAATGAAGATTTGAAGTCGTGGATTCCTTACAAATATGATAAATGCGACAGTAAGTTTATTTAATTCAGGAACTTTACTTTTAGGTATATTGGGGAGAGGTACAGACTATCTTTCATGGAAAATTCACGCAGGTAAAGCTGATGGAAAAGGTTAGAGAGACTTAGTTATCATACAGACTATTGTATACGTCATCGTGGGTTTATTGAAGATCGTTATATTAGATACTCGTATGTGTGATATGAACACAATACGTGTTTGTAGGCAGATACATAAATAAATATTCATTGTATATGATGTGTAAATGAAAAACTACTGACACATAACATAACATCACGCCTTTTATCTCCGAAGGGATAGGCAGAGGTGCACATTACACTTTACTTAATACCACTGTACAATATAACACCATTTTTCACTATTTATGTTATGAGTCCCATGTAATAGGGGGTGAAACTATTGCCATATACAGAGCACAATTCCAGACTCCGTGCTACTACTGAGATTTTTTTAAAAACCCATTATTACTTTGCTCAACCCGGGAATCGAACCCGAGACACCTCGCTGGCAGTAGCACTTGTGACCACTCGGCCAACGAGGCAGTCTACGAGTTTTAATAAATAAAAAATCCTTTTGTGTCAATCAAGTGTTGCTACCGAAATTACTTATTACAGGTACACAAAAAATACATCTATAGGTACCAACCGCAACGAAAACTGATATCAAAGTTGTTCCTAAGTTAAATTGTTAAAATTTATTTAACGTATGTACCAGAATCAGAGTTTGCCTAACTCATATATGCTTAGGACAGGTTTGTTCTCAATTTTGTTATCAAACAAAAAGAATTAATTAATGTTATTGACAGTTCTCGTTTACATCGTTGAGAAGAAATTTAACTTTTACATGAAACTGATATAATATTGTGTCACTGATATTAAACTGTCGAACACCAAGCGGTCACCGGTGACCGTAACCTATTGTTCTATAATTGTGTCTATAATGACGGTACTCAACGAGTTAAATGATATAATGAATGCTATATTAATTCTAGAAAGAGTAATCATTAATTCAACTAGTCACCGGGGCTTGGGTTCGAAAAACAGGAGGAGGAACGGCGTGGTATAGTCAATAAGAGTCTGACACTCTCCCTCGCGTCTCTCAAGGTCGGAGGAGCCTTTGGAGTATTTTACCCCTAAAAAAAGAAAAGGTAAGCATCACCATAACCATGCCAGTCACAAGACGTTCACTGTTGACCATAAGCTTCCACCAATGACTACAAAATTGGCTGATTGAAAGTGACCTCCTTCAGCGGTTTCCTGCGACCGTTTTTTTTAATGAGACTAGCCAACCCTAACCACCTAAAACCGCTGCAACTTCTGTTAGCCAGCCTTCTACAGTAGATACAATTGGGTAGGTTCCAGGGTTTCAAAATTAATAATCTAATTAGTCCATCAGTTGGATAATGAAAAAATATTAAAAACGTATTTATTATTTTCTCGTATTAAACTGTCAAACACCAAGCGGTCACCGGTGACCGCAACCTATTGTTCTATAATTGCGTCTATATTGATGGTACATACTCGACGAGTTAAGTTGCAATACTGAGATAAAACGTCGTTAAGTTTAGGAGTGGGAGGTCGTTACCTCATAATAACGTGCTACAAAATAAGGCACGCTGTGACGTCACACGATATTTCAAATTAATATATCGTTGAAAGTATTTAATTTTGTGAGAAAAGAAAAACGTATATTTTCTTTTCTCACAAAATTCAAAAGTTTTAAATTATTGTACCAGACGGACATTAAAATAAAATTTAGGAAACTACCCTATTGCTGCGACCTTCGAGTAATATCTATGGTAATCCTAACTTCCTTCATTGTTACATTATCAATAGATAGGTTATTTATAAATGTTTCACTTGTACCTGTTACAGTTCACTAGCATTAGAACATATAGCATGTATACTACACTTTATTGACGGTTATTGCATTTAAATCCGTTTTATTAAAATTCGTATTGTGATTGACAACAAGAATATTTCAAGACGTAACCTATTACAAAAGATTGTAAGGGAATATGTAAGTATTACCTAAATTGAAGAGAATCCAGTCACTAGATACATAGCAATATATAAATATAGAATCGCAACTAGAAATGATTCCATTTTGGTTTTGAAAGACAAGAATTATTGAATTTAAATAACTTAGAATTAAAGTAGATATTGGCCCGTTTTTTACACGACAAATGAAAAGCAACTGTCTGGTATACGTTTTAAAACTATATTTTCTTTTTTAACTGAATGTATACCTATCTGATTATGTTTACACATAAGGTCAATAAACCGGTAAATAGAATATAAAACCAAGTTCTTAAAGATATATTTATACTTATGTAACTTAAAGTTCTTCCAAAAAGACAATAGAAATAATGTGGATATTAAGTCGAGTTTTAATATAATTGCTTTTTCTAAGGATTCTTCCTTGGAACGACAGCAAACTGAGGTTTATTCAGGTCACGACTTTAAATTGATATTCTCGGAAAACTCTATTAACGTCTTCTATAGTTTTTTATTTACCAGTTTATAGTTATATAAGTAGAAACTTTTTAAAAATGTAACGTTTTGATGGTTAACTAATACAATTAAGTAAAACAAATATTTCTGTTTTAATAAAGATTTATATCATTCGAGTTTATCCGATGTTGTGGATTTGCTTCTGTAGACTGTATGAAACCCAATTAATACCTGTGTCTTATTATTGTTACACGTTAACTCGTTGAGTACCGGTTTTGTAGACACAATTATAGAACAATAGGTTGCGGTCACC